GTATTCAAAATACGGAACTATGGCAATGGATGTATTGTTTCCGACACGCGCTGTACGCGCTGTACCAATCACAACAGACTGGAGCATCTGACCAATCAGAGCAGAGCAGGCTCACGGAAAGGAGGGGTTTAGAGAGACTGAAACTTTGAACTGCTTCGAACGAATCGTTTGAGAATCGCTAGAAAATGAGGTGATATTAAACGCATATTTTGAGAAAATGAAAGCGTTTTTTGACCTTGCATGCATGTAATCCTATTGTAGGAGACTCCCAAAACAATATTAGGAACCGTAAAAATGGCATAATAGGGGCACTTTAAACTGATTTATTTTTGCCGCTATATAGGCTTTGAACAGTTAAGTACACACACTTGTATGTGTCAAAATGCCCGTTTTTGCAAGTATCCTCGTAAACACAGTAATTTAGGTCTCATGTGAAAGGAAACAACTGAGAAAAAAAACACGTGTGTAACAGTATTTTGGATCTGGGCAGCTCTTAAAGTGACAACAGTCTAATATTCCTTTTAATAGTCATTCATGTTAATCAAACAACAAAAGAGAGAAAATCTCTCACTGCTCTTGACTAAATCACTTTTGTAACTTTAATAATAAATATATATTTGATTTACAAAGTGAAGAATATGCAGCGTTTTTATTCATTATACAATGTATGCATTTCTTATTTGTTTGTTCTATTGTATTTTTTGTCCTATTGTTTGTAATTAGTTTCTTATACTTATTTATTAGCTGACTGTTTACTTGTCTTCAGTAAGCTTGAGTTTTTTTTATTTTTTATTTTATTTTAGGCTAGTTAGTTTTTGTGATATTGACACTGGTGACAAGAATTATGACATTTGTATGGTAACAAAAATTTTGATATCATAAAGAACTTATTTAAAGCAAAAATAATTATATTATGATATAAGATTTTGGTCATATCGCTCACCCCTACGCTAATAAGATAAAAAGATTAATGTGTGCATACCAATGTATTTGTGCTAGAAATACACTTTACATGCAAATATGTGAATACTAATGAAATCATGTTGGAGGCAAAGACACAACATAACTAGGACACACTAAGTTTCTTATAAATGTACCATTAAACTGGACAATTACCATTGCTCAGTTGATCATTGGACTAAATTTGACTGATTTCTGGAGCAAAACGAATTTAAATGACATTCAGCTATTCCATAACTGTTCATACCAGGTGATATGCTCTCAGTCAGGTAATAGTCTTCAGGGTTGATGAACGGCAGCTGTTGCATCACAGACTCTTTCGGGACGAGGTACAGCACTTCTGCCACACGTCCGTCCTCTATGACAGATATGCGTTTGACGGAGTTTGTGCGTTTGATCCGAGTGCGATCCACTTGCTGACTGCATCCAGATCCGCAGAGTTTCCCCAGGCTGTTCAGAGTGGGAAGGGAAGGCATGGCGGCGGGACCTCAGAATTCTCAATTAGTCCTCAAAACTAGACAAAAATGCTTTAGGAATTCGTCTTCTCCACACTAGACTCAATATCCAGGCTAAATGATGACCATTGATCTCTCAGAATGCCCTTTGACCCAGCGATCAGAGGTCACGTACAAGCAGGTGAGTCTGCAGAGAGGGCCAAACTCCAACCAAAAGACCTCTGATCTTCAGATTAACAAATCTTAAATCTTCAACCAAATGCTCGCTCGTCCCGATTAAGCGATTGCCAGATTTAATGCTCCTCACCGCGTTAAATATCGCATGCGATTTATCGTGCAGCCCTACACCAAAGGTTCTTTATGGTGGAAAAAGGTTCTTTAGAATATTAAAATGTTCTTCACATGAAGAAAAAAAAGTCATTTAAAGAACCATTCACTGAAAAGTTCATTGGGGAACCCAAAATGGTTCTTCTATGGCATTGCTTCGAAAACCCCTTTATTTTAAAGAGTGTACAACTGAAATGTAATGCACAAGATTAGCTGGAAACACATCTGTGCCGATTCTGATAGAAGTAGATCAGTAATAATGCTTAAATTAAATCTTTAATCACAGGATTTTCTAATTTAGAAAATCTAATTTCCATATATATATATAGAGAGAGAGAGAGAGAGAGAGATTTAGATATATTTAGAGAAAGACAAAAACAAAAGATGATATAAAAGTTTGTGTCACTCTTTATACATATATTAAAAAATGTATAATGTTAAAGTAGCCTACATGTTACATTGATTAAATGTGATGGTATTAAATAATTGTATGCAATCAAAAATATATATAGCACAATCAATTTAAGAAATTCTTGAATTTACTAAGTCAAAGGGATTGCATAGAATTTTGCGAGAACACTGCTGATTTGTAAAGTTGTTGAAATATTCATAAAAAAATGTAAGTGAGCTATACTTTACATGTGCAAATAAATTAATACTAATGAGATCATGTTGGAGGCAAAGACAACATAACTAGGACACACTAAGTTTCTTAATGTACAATTAAACTGTACAATTACTGTTGCTCAGTTGGTCTAAATTTGACTGGTTTCTGGAGCAAAACTGATCTAAATTAAATTCAACTTACTTGTGTTTTATGCAATAAACAAGACGTGTGATATGAAGAAAAATATCAACATAAAGTGCAACCCTTCACCAGTTTCCATAGCTGTTCATACCAGGTGTCAGGCTCTCAGTCAAGTAATAGTCTTCAGGGTTGATGAACGGCAGCTGTTGCATCACAGACTCTTTCGGGACGAGGTACAGCACTTCTGCCACACGTCCGTCCTCTATGACAGATATGCGTTTGACGGAGTTTGTGCGTTTGATCCGAGTGCGATCCACTTGCTGACTGCATCCAGATCCGCAGAGTTTCCCCAGGCTGTTCAGAGTGGGAAGGGAAGGCATGGCGGCGGGACCTCAGAATTCTCAATTAGTCCTCAAAACTAGACAAAAATGCTTTAGGAATTCGTCTTCTCCACACTAGACTCAATATCCAGGCTAAATGATGACCATTGATCTCTCAGAATGCCCTTTGACCCAGCGATCAGAGGTCACGTACAAGCAGGTGAGTCTGCAGAGAGGGCCAAACTCCAACCAAAAGACCTCTGATCTTCAGATTAACAAATCTTAAATCTTCAACCAAATGCTCGCTCGTCCCGATTAAGCGATTGCCAGATTTAATGCTCCTCACCTGAAAATGATACGTCTTACCTCTGCTTCAGGTGAAGACCACAGGTGAACCCCATGCCAGAGTGGAGAGTAAGAAGTGGCTCGAATAGCTCCTGCCTTGTCGTAAGCGGATTAACCCTGACGTCTACTCTGTGATTATCTCTCGGACGGGGCCAAGCAATGCCACCATAGTATCTGCAATGGTACACGCTCCTTGGTGAGAGAAGTTTACCGACACAACTAAAAATACTGTGCTCCATATCCAAATGAAGAATCAATTCCCAACCACAGGCTGTTTTCTATTAATACACTCTTAAAAATAAAGGTTCTTTATGGGCATTTATGGTTCCATGAAGAACATTTAATATCCACAGAACCAACACTTCCATTGCACCAAAGTAGGGCTGCACGATAAATCGCATGCGATATTTAACGCGCATCTTGTCAGAAAGCCGGTTCTGTAATCAGCGGTAAATCTCCATCACGTGCGTGCTTTCACATTGAGCAGCATTAACTACACAGAGCCGTTGTTCACTGACGAGCTGCGCAAAACCACGTTCATATTCGTGCGATTTTTTGCGCAGCTCGTCAGTGAACAACGGCTCTGTGTAGTTAATGCTGCTCAATGTGAAAGCCCGCAGGTTATGGAGATTTACCGCTGATTACAGAACCGGCTTTCTGACAAGATGCGCGTTAAATATCGCATGCGATTTATCGTGCAGCCCTACACCAAAGGTTCTTTATGGTGGAAAAAGGTTCTTTAGAATATTAAAATGTTCTTCACATGAAGAAAAAAAAGTCATTTAAAGAACCATTCACTGAAAAGTTCATTGGGGAACCCAAAATGGTTCTTCTATGGCATTGCTTCGAAAACCCTTTATTTTAAAGAGTGTACAACTGAAATGTAATGCACAAGATTAGCTGGAAACACATCTGTGCCGATTCTGATAGAAGTAGATCAGTAATAATGCTTAAATTAAATCTTTAATCACAGGATTTTCTAATTTAGAAAATCTAATTTCCAAAGAAAAGCCATCAGAATGAAACAATCAGATGTAACAATTAAGAGACTATATTGCAGCAATAATCAGAATGTTAATATTTTCCCATACTTTAAACTACTGTATAGCCCAAATAATGTCTTGCAAGTCTTAAATGAGATGCAACAACCATTGCAAATTCATGAATCCCACCCACACCTCACCAGTTGTTCCTTCGCCCCTGGAGAAAATAGGTGAGAACATATGGTCATAAATTAACACAGGGACTTGACTCTGGAAAAAAGCCAGTTTATGCTACTGGCGCATGCGATTTATCGTGCAGCCCTACACCAAAGGTTCTTTATGGTGGAAAAAGGTTCTTTAGAATATTAAAATGTTCTTCACATGAAGAAAAAAAAGTCATTTAAAGAACCATTCACTGAAAAGTTCATTGGGGAACCCAAAATGGTTCTTCTATGGCATTGCTTCGAAAACCCCTTTATTTTAAAGAGTGTACAACTGAAATGTAATGCACAAGATTAGCTGGAAACACATCTGTGCCGATTCTGATAGAAGTAGATCAGTAATAATGCTTAAATTAAATCTTTAATCACAGGATTTTCTAATTTAGAAAATCTAATTTCCAAAGAAAAGCCATCAGAATGAAACAATCAGATGTAACAATTAAGAGACTATATTGCAGCAATAATCAGAATGTTAATATTTTCCCATACTTTAAACTACTGTATAGCCCAAATAATGTCTTGCAAGTCTTAAATGAGATGCAACAACCATTGCAAATTCATGAATCCCACCCACACCTCACCAGTTGTTCCTTCGCCCCTGGAGAAAATAGGTGAGAACATATGGTCATAAATTAACACAGGGACTTGACTCTCTGGAAAAAAGCCAGTTTATGCTACTGGGGATTGTCTCTTAAACATACAGTATGTCTCTTCTGTTCCACAGTCATTGCAATTGCATTTTTGACCTTCATTTAATATTGAAACTACAGCTAAATTTCCTGTTGTGCTGCCTGGTGAACCTTCATTATGGGTTTTAAACCTTACTGCCAACTTTCTGGGCAGAATACCAGTTTGTGGTAAGTAGTGATTGCATCCAGCCAATACAAAATGCACATAATTCACATCAAAACAAGATCTGATAAAAAACTAGTTTGGTAAATGACACTCACATTAATCATTGTAAATCAAACATTGTTTAGGAAAAAACACTGTCCATATAGTGCTTTAGTCACTGTCATTGACTGACCGAGATCATTCACCAAATGCTAATAAATCCTGGAGAAAAGCACCAACCCACAGCCTTTATGAAATTACATGGCGAAGAATCAGATTTAAGAACAGATGTGTGGTGCTCTGACAGACCCCCGCGGAGGGTCTTTCTGCACTCAGATGCATTAGACTTTTATATTTGCTAGCTATCTTGTTTGCATTGTCTTTATTTGATCCTATTGTTTTTAATAGACTACTGTATGATTTGTACTATGTAATTATTAAATTTTCTAGTATGCATTTTTAATTAAATTCTCTTTTAGGGTGACTTGTAACATCTTGTCCAGGGACTACGGATGAAAAATAGCCTTTGGCTAATTCTGGTACATTTACAGGAATGTTTTATTAATGTACAATGTCCCTGTCAACGAAATAAATAAAATACAAATAAAAATAAAAAAGAGAGAGGATGTGGATCAGCAGTTTATGCTTATTAAACAGACACAGGCTGTGTTCCAAAACCTACAGAAATGCCTACATAAGTAGCATTTTAAGAAAGGTTGTTCAAAAAGGCAATTATCTTGCTTTAAGAACTTCTTTTGGCCAAACTGCTGCATCATGTTTACGCTTGACGAAGATGGTAACTCCATATTGCAATACAAATTTTACTGAAAAATCTGTATAAGGACACATACGTTTATGATATATATTTGTGTGTGTAGACATTTACGATTTATTTAATAACAAAAAGAAAGCATTTAATCTATTTGAAATTTGAATATTATGTTCCGTTTTTGTGTCATATTTAATATTTAATAATATTTAATAATATCTTACAACATTGTAGCACTAGGTTTTCAAAAAGAGCCTCAAAGGGTTTTGCAGATGCTGCAGATTTGATAACAGACTGAGGGAGGATTAGTATTATGCATGTAATCTTTAAACTGTCAAATGTTGAACATAATTTACATGTCAACTGAAAATTAGATTTTAAAGGGAGAGGAAAAGAGAGATGTAACGAGATGGATTTAGAGTGATTGAGATGGAAGAAGGGATGAACTTGCATTTCTCGTGATGTTTCTCTGCTTCTGAGTGAATGATATAGGGCTTCATGAATAATACAGCTCTGCTGTCTCCGTTACATGAAGCTCTCTTCCGATCTCTCTCAAGGCCTTTCACATGACTCATGCACTGCTTTGACCTCAACATGAAAAGCATTTCAAAAAATGTTATGAAAAGGAGAAAATAAATGTACCAATAAACACTGAAAACATTTGTGCTTAGAACAGAAATGTTCCTATAATTACTTTGATACAACGCAAAAAGGTAAGGAAGGACTCACTGAATATTAAACTTTACTGCCTCTGGATGCTCTTGGTGAATTTAAATTAGTTCAAGAATGGCATTCAGATGCATTGGACAATGCTGATGCTAAAATGTTAAAAGTTAAAATGCCTCAAGCTAAGGTGGTTGATCGATAGGGGTTTTCAGTAGCCACACAGAGCATATTTAGCCAATCCGAAACTCTGCTTGTCTATCATTTTGTGTATTTTGGACTGCTGGCATCAGATTTGACATGTCAGTGTTTTGGAAAGAGGTTAGAAAAATTGCTAAATCCCTTTAATAACTGTAAGATTTTAAATTGCTGACAATGAAAATAGCTGAAATTGCACACTTTAAACAATTTACCTAACACAATATCATAGATAGATAAATATCATAGATAGATATTGTTTTTGGTGAACATTCAAAGGAAAAATAAAAAACAACAAATGGGAATACTTCTGTTAATCAATCATGTATGTATATATGTATAAAACATAAAAATATCTTACATATAAATAGCTTACAATTATATATATATATATATATATACCGT